GGTAGTAAAAAAGAAAAGAAAGTGAAAAGGGAGGCGAGAGAGCGAGCAGTATCATGGACTGGTCCCCGTTGCCTTAATACAGGCTCAATAAAACATGTGTCTGGCCAAACAAAGACTTACAGGTCATTACGCCGAGATTGTCTGACCAAACAAAGACTACAGGTCATTCTGCAAGCTGGAATGTAGCCACTCCCCATCTCTCCTCACCTTTTGCCTTTTCGTCCCATGGACCTCACCTCCCTCTGTTTCTCTCGCCTCATAAGATTAGATTAGATCTACTTGAACACATGAACACAAGGCGGCTGGCTGGCTATGGCTAGTGAATATATGCGTCGCAAACAGCACGTGCGATTCCTGCATCAACACAGTAGAGAATCTGCATTTCTGGCTCTGCCAACTACTGTAGTAGTATATAATAATACTACTACTATAGTGCAGTATTATCACGGTGCCATTACCGGTTACGTGCGTACGTGCCACCTCAGTCGCTCGCTTAGAGCATGCTTGGATACGTTTTAGTCCCATGACTAAAAGTAGTGGGACTAAAACTTGCTAGTCTCACCCATGCTTGGATCTAAATACTAAAGAGACTAAAATCTAGTTATTGAGCATTTATTATCCTCCAAACCCTTCAATCCAGAACTAAGGAGAGGAATTAAATGAGGAGAGAGAGAGCTAATACATATTTTAGTAGGTTTCCCATGACTAAAAGATTTTAGCCTCAAGACTAGTCCTAGCCTCTCTTTAGTCAGGGGTGCTTGGAACTTTAGCCTCTAAAAGAGACTATTTTTAGTCAGACTAAAAATAGTCCCTTGTATCCAAGCACCCTCTTACTCACTGTTCTTATCGAGCTTCTCTCTTATTTTTCGAAAAACGTTTTATTTTGCAGAAAGGTGCTGAAAAAGTGGAAATGATATAAAACTTTCAGCTGGCGGGCTGGCTTGCCGGCCGGCCACTGTTGGAAGCTTTGTTTTCGCGTTGTTCCATCGACCGAGTCTTTCTTTTCTTTTTCGCCGTCTTGCGTGCACGTGCACGTGTGCAGCCCCCGGTTTCGTAGCCTACGTCGAGTTGGCCTTGTATAATGACACCTTTCCCGCCATCTTCACAAAGAATTCTTTTTCCCGTGCCCACTACTATCGCTCGCATGGCATGTCATGCCACCGAAACGTCGAGAACAAGTGCCAGCGACATCTGTTATAAGTTGGGCTACAAGTTAATTACAATGTGACGCCGTATGCAAAACGTTTATACTTTATATATTACAGAGGTCTATCTTACACACACAAAACGTGTTATAGTACTATATCTAGCTTATACTAAAATTAATTAAAGCCTGTCTTTGGAGCAAAGGTCAAATCATGTTGCACTTAGACACTGAGACGAGTTGATTTTTCTTCTCTTGTGTCTGCAGCGACCTTCTGAACGAGTACACGGTGGCCGTGAGGAGGATGACCTGCCAGGCGCTGGAGCTGATGGCGGAGGGCCTGGGCATGGACGACAGGGACGCCTTCACCAGGCTGGTCCTGCACAAGGAAAGCGACTCGATGCTGCGGGTGAACCACTACCCGCCGCGCCCCGAGCTGAAGCTCCTGCAGCAGCAGCAGCAACACGGCGGCGGCGGCAGGGTCACCGGGTTCGGCGAGCACACCGACCCTCAGATCATCTCCGTGCTCCGCTCCAACGCCACCTCTGGCCTCGAGATCGCGCTGCGCGACGGCGCCTGGGTCTCCGTGCCGCCGGACCAGACCTCCTTCTTCGTCAACGTCGGCGACGCCTTGCAGGTACTACACCATAATGCTTAGCTCTCTGATGCCATATTTTTCTTTTCTCTATTGCTACTATTTCTTAAGAGTAATAAAAAATTGCTTAGCACGATGTTCAGCTGTCCATTGTGATGGGAATGGGATGGGGCCATGCTACTGTAGTGGATCGTGTGGGTGTCAAAGTGTCATTTCTCCATTTCCACATGGAAATCCCGACCTTACGGGGAACCATGATGTCCATGCCTAGTCAGTTTTGTCGAACAGGGGAATCTGAAAGCCATTATTCAATACCATATCATGTAAAGCATACAGCTAGCAACCCTACACGATTAATTCTCAGTACAGATAAATAGTACAATGATGGTGGCGGCACGGAGAGTTGACACCGGTAACCGTACGGACACACGGCAAGCTTTGCCTATGAAATCTCAGGACACGTAGTACAATGATAATGATGATGATAGCGGCACATAGAGTTGACACTGGCAATTGTGAAGCCGTTTTCTGGATGGAGCGGGCACCAAATACCCCACACAAACGTCTCGCGGGTTTGTTTCGGAATGACAACTCTGTTAGAGTGACCACCTTTTCGGCTAAAATCTTCATAATGACCATTATTGTTGACGTATAATATGCTGCATAATCTTTTATCAGATTCGTCTTTTGGTTGTATTGGTTAGAGCATGCACTTCTACATAGTACCATGACGATCCAGCAGATATGGATACTCTGCTAGAGTTGCTCTAGGGTATACAAACTTTGAGAAGAAGAAAAAAAACGATCATAGATGGCAAGCCTTTTGTTTCATTCTCATGTGTAAATTCCATATGCCTCGTTTGTTCGATGATTCGTTTCGTTTGCTCATGATACGAGTAAATGTACGCGCAGGTGCTGACTAACGGGAGGTTCCGGAGCGTGAGGCACCGGGTGATGGTGAACAGCGTCCGGCCGCGGGTGTCGGTGATCTTCTTCGGCGGCCCGTCGCCGCGGGAGACGCTGGCGCCGCTGCCGCAGCTCGTCGGGGAAGGCGGGCGCAGCCGGTACAGGGAGTTCACATGGCGGGAGTACAAGGCCTCGGCGTACCGGACCAAGCTGGCGGCGAACAGGCTCTGCCACTTCGAGACCACCAGCTAGCAGTCTAGCTAGCATGCGATTGCTTTGGCCTTTTTTGTTTTGGTGAGGATGTGTGAAACTTTGTGTGCACGGCGGCAGGGTTTTTTTGCTAGTGTGTTCCTAGTGACCGGTACATACGCCCGGTAAGGTTTTTGTGTTGATATATGCTGCAAAGCATTCTGTAGGTCCCGTTCGAGTTGGAGGCATCAGGTGAAGTATAGTGAAACGGTTCTGGATGTATGTGTTTGGTTGGTTGAATATACCGAAGGTGGAACGTGTCATGGTTATTTTTCTGATATAGTGTATGTGGTGTGTATGGAGATGTGTAGATGCTACCGAAAATGTAAATGGGTGTACACACAAGAAATTATATAGGTTCGGCACTCTACGCCCGAAGGTTTTTCTTAGGGAAACATGTTTACTTTATTGCTCAACTAAAACGGAGTTACGGAAACATCAAAACGGAATTACAGCCATCTGACCAATATGGATGCAACGCCCTCAACTTTGGTTCTTCATGTTTTCATCGTCATCTCGTGGGAACTGCTCTCCCATAGCTCCCCGTGTGTCTTCCATGTCGTCCTATGGTTGGCTTCTTATGCCAGTGTCTGCGTTCCACCAAGCCTGCGTGTCATCTCCATCAATATGTGGCATTTGCGTCGGAGGTTTGCTTCTCTATCAAGCTGATGTTGCTCTGTGCGTCTTGGGGATCTTGCTCCCCATCGGCTGGTCCACTTTATCCCTTGATGTGTTGTTCCCCCAGCAACCTAAGAGATTCCCAATGCTTGATTTGCTCTTCGACTGTTGATGCCTTGTGATGCTTTGCTGGATTTTGCCTTTAAACTTGCTCATACTCTATTGAGACATTGGTATCTGTAACATCATGAGTTCTGACTCTTTTCCTTTTTTTTCTTATGCAGTTGAATTTCCAGTTGCACTTATTTCCCTGAGTTTTTCTTGAATCAACTTGCTTGGACTTAGCATACTAAAATCTTTAAAATTTGGCTAGCAACCAGCCACCACTAGTGCCTAACCCTCTGACCTATCCCTCTCTTGTTAAAACCTCTCTTCAATTTTTCTTTGAGGTTTATTCTTTTTCAGAAAAAAATAATAAAAGCACCCTAGGTGCTTGAGTTGTAAAGCAACCACCTCTTCCCCTTTTCTGAAAATTCCTAAACAATTCCCATAATTTCTGTAGATCCTAAGTCAACCATAAATGCACCTAGGTCCCCCTAGAGTTTTTGTATTTGAGCCCCTCTTCTTCAAAACCAGTTCTGACCCAAACTTACACAGCAAGTGCCCTTGTTCTTACTCTGTTGGGGCTAAAGTTTGGTGAAGTTGATCACCTTAGGGACTAACTGTTGGAGAACGTAGTAATTTCAAAAAAATTCCTACACACACGCAAGATCATGGTGATGCATCGCAACGAGAGGGAAGAGTGTGATCTACGTACCCTTGTAGACCGACAGCGGAAGCGTTAGCACAACGCGGTTGATGTAGTCGTACGTCTTCACGGCCCGACCGATCAAGCACCGAAACTACGGCACCTCCGAGTTCTAGCACACGTTCAGCTCGATGACGATCCCCAGACTCCGATCCAGCAAAGTGTCGGGGAAGAGTTCCGTCAGCACGACGGCGTGGTGACGATCTTGATGCTCTACCGTCGCAGGGCTTCGCCTAAGCACTGCTACAATATTATCGAGGATTATGGTGGAAGGGGGCACCGCACACGGCTAAGAATATGATCACGTGGATCAACTTGTGTCTCTAGGGGTGCCCCCTGCCCCCGTATATAAAGGATCAAAGGGGGGGGTGCGGCCGGCCAGGAGGAGGGCGCGCCAGGAGGAGTCCTACTCCTACTCCCACCGGGAGTAGGATCCCCCCCCCCCTTTCCTAGTTGGAATAGGATTCAGGAGTGGGAAAGAGGAGAGAGAGAAGGAAGGGGGGCGCCGCCCCCCTCTCCTTGTCCTATTCGGACTAGGGGGGAGGGGCGCGCGGCCCATCCCTGGCCACCTCTCCTCTCTTCCACTAAAGCCCACTAAGGCCCATATACATCCCGGGGGGTTCCGGTAACCTCCCAGTACTCCGGTAAAATCCCGATTTCACCCGGAACACTTCCGATATCCAAATTTAGGCTTCCAATATATCAATCTTTATGTCTCGACCATTTCGAGACTCCTCGTCATGTCCGTGATCACATCCGGGACTCCGAACAAACTTCGGTACATCAAAATGTATAAACTCATAATATAACTGTCATCGAAACCTTAAGCGTGCGGACCCTACGGGTTCGAGAACAATGTAGACATGATCGAGACACGTCTCCGGTCAATAACCAATAGCGGAACCTGGATGCTCATATTGGCTCCCACATATTCTACGAAGATCTTTATCGGTCAGACCGCATAACAACATACGTTGTTTCCTTTGTCATCGGTATGTTACTTGCCCGAGATTCGATCGTCGGTATCTCAATACCTAGTTCAATCTCATTACCGGCAAGTCTCTTTACTTGTTTCGTAATACATCATCTCGCAACTAACTCATTAGTTGCAATGCTTGCAAGGCTTATGTGATGTGCATTACCGAGAGGGCCCAGAGATACCTCTCCGACAATCGGAGTGACAAATCCTAATCTCGAAATACGCCAACCCAACATTTACCTTTGGAGACACCTGTAGAGCTCCTTTATAATCACCCAGTTACGTTGTGACGTTTGGTAGCACACAAAGTGTTCCTCCGGCAAACGGGAGTTGCATAATCTCATAGTCATAGGAACATGTATAAGTCATGAAGAAAGCAATAGCAACATACTAAACGATCGGGTGCTAAGCTAATGGAATGGGTCATGTCAATCACATCATTCTCCTAATAATGTGATCTCGTTAATCAAATGACATCACATGTCTATGGTTAGGAAACATAACCATCTTTGATTAACGAGCTAGTCAAGTAGAGGCATACTAGTGACGTTTGGTTTGTCTATGTATTCACACAAGTATTATGTTTCCGAATAATACAATTCTAGCATGAATAATAAACATTTATCATGAAATAAGGAAATAAATAATAACTTTATTATTGCCTCTAGGGCATATTTCCTTTAGTCTCCCACTTGCACCAGAGTCAATAATCTAGATTACACAGTAATGATTTTAACACCCATGGAGCTTTGGTGCTGATCATGTTTTGCTCATGGAAGAGGCTTAGTCAACGGGTCTGCTATATTCAGATCCGTATGTATCTTGCAAATCTCTATGTCTCCCACCTGGACTAGATCCCGGACGGAATTGAAGCGTCTCTTGATGTGCTTGGTTCTCTTGTGAAATCTGGATTCCTTTGCCAAGGCAGTTGCACCAGTATTGTCACAAAAGATTTTCATTGGACCCGATGCACTAGGTATGACACCTAGATCGGATATGAACTCCTTCATCCAAACTCCTTCGTTTGCTGCTTCCGAAGCAGCTATGTACTCCGCTTCACATGTAGATCCCGCCACAACGCTTTGTTTAGAACTGCACCAACTGACAGCTCCACCGTTTAATGTAAACACGTATCCAGTTTGCGATTTAGAATCGTCTGGATCAGTTTCAAAGCTTGCATCAACGTAACCATTTACGATGAGCTCTTTGTCACCTCCATATATGAGAAACATATCCTTAGTCATTTTCAGGTATTTCAGGATGTTCTTGACTGCTGTCCGGTGATCCACTCCTGGATTACTTTGGTACCTCCCTGCTAGACTTATAGCAAGACACACATCAGGTCTGGTACACAACATTGCATACATGATAGAGCCTATGGCTGAAGCATAGGGAACATCTTTCATTTTCTCTCTATCTTCTGCATTGGTCGGGGATTGAGTCTTACTCAATTTCACACCTTGTAACACAGGCAAGAATCCTTTCTTTGCTTGATCCATTTTGAACTTCTTCAAAACTTTGTCAAGGTATGTGCTTTGTGAAAGTCCAATTAAGCGTCTTGATCTATCTCTATAGATCTTAATGCCCAATATGTAAGCAGCTTCACCGAGGTCTTTCAATGAAAAACTCTTATTCAAGTATCCTTTTATGCTATCCAGAAATTCTATATCATTTCCGATTAGCAATATGTCATCTACATATAATATCAGAAATGCTACAGAGCTCCCACTCACTTTCTTGTAAATACAGGCTTCTCCAAAAGTCTGTACAAAACCAAATGCTTTGATCACACTATCAAAGCGTTTATTCCAACTCCGAGAGGCTTGCACCAGTCCATAAATGGATCGCTGGAGCTTGCACACTTTGTTAGCCCCCTTTGGATCGACAAAACCTTCCGGCTGCATCATATACAACTCTTCTTGCAGAAATCAATTCAGGAATGCAGTTTTGACATCCATTTGCCAAATTTCATAATCATAAAATGCGGCAATTGCTAACATGATTCGGACAGACTTAAGCATCGCTACGGTGAGAAGGTCTCACCGTAGTCAATCCCTTGAACTTGCCGAAAACCTTTTGCGACAAGTCAAGCTTTGTAGACAGTAATATTACCGTCAGCGTCAGTCTTCTTCTTGAAGATCCATTTATTCTCAATTGCTTGTCGATCATTGGGCAAGTCAACCAAAGTCCATACTTTGTTCTCATACATGGATCCCATCTCAGATTTCATGGCTTCAAGCCATTTTGCGGAATCTGGGCTCGCCATCGCTTCTTCATAGTTCGTAGGTTCATCATGATCTAGTAGCATGACTTCCAGAACAGGATTACCGTACCACTCTGGTGCGGATCTTACTCTGGTTGATCTACGAGGTTCAGTAGTATCTTGTTCTGAAGTTTCATGATCATTATCATTAGCTTCCTCACTAATTGGTGTAGGTGTCACATAAACAGGTTTCTATGATGTACTACTTTCCAATAAGGGAGCAGGTACTGTTACCTCGTCAAGTTCTACTTTCCTCCCACTCACTTCTTTCGAGAGAAACTCCTTCTCCAGAAAATTTCCGAATTTAGCAACAAAAGTCTTGCCTTCGGATCTGT